GCTTAAATCGTTTAACTTTTTAAAGAGCACATATTTAACATTTATCGAATTCAACGATTATAATCAAATTATTATACTCTCGACAGCGTTCACGATTCGAAACTCTTCCTTCGTTACAAATAACGTTCTTTTACGTGATATTCGTAACCTTTAAAATATTGAGTTATGCAAATAAGAATGAGGCAAATGCTCGTAGGTGGAGGCAGAAACATTCATTCGGACGTAAAAGTATTACACGAAGCAAAAATACACTCCGCATTTCATACATACAATTCGCGAAGCTCTCTCCAAGATCCAAGAATCTGCTTGCGTATTCTATTATATTTTTCTCGGTAAATAACAGCAAGAGAAAAAAATCGCTCCGTTTTAGATGTTATCTACCATGACGTACTCAAACTCATATTTCACGAATCGCGCACAATGAAATTCAGCCGTCTCGATTAATCTTCGATACGTGATGCCCCGAATGCATATAAAACGTGGGAACGTGTTCTTACTACCTGTCCGCGACTCTGAACTTTATCTGCACTTTACTTAGAAAAATGAATCTCTCCGCACGAGCCAAGTGCAAAGAGATAAACACGTCGGGGAAGATGAACGAACGATAATCTGTTTAGCAGTCAACCCAGTCAAATATTTTGTCACTAAAGGAGCAGCGTATCGAGCAGCGTATATTAAATCTTACCATATCATTTTTCAACGCGAAGCGTATAAACTTTCGAAACAATTCGAAAAATTTTATTAACGGAAAAAAGATTTCGAGAAAGATACGGAAAGAACAATTATTCTAAAGTATCTAAAAATTTAATTACATACAGAACTGAAAATAATTTTGTTCAACCATCACGATAATTTGTAGAACACTTAAGATGGTTGCTGGGATGTCAATATTTTATACAACGTTGCTTATTGTGCTTAAGTATTCTAATTATTTTAATGCTTGAGTACATAAATATTTTGATAGTTAAACAAAATTATTTTCAGATTTTTAAGTAATTTTGTAATTACAAATTGTTACATCAAGAATTCATCACAAAATCATATTCAATGACATTATTATAATTTTTCTTAAAATGACTTATACTTGATGTCATATCTTGGTTTTTTATTGATTTTGTGTTCCATCTGAGAAATCTGGATAAATTTTTAAATCATTTTTTCCACATTAAAGATCTCAATTAAATATTCCCACGAATTAAACGATGTAAAGAGCTTCTTTTAATAAGAATACAAAAATCTGTTTTTAATCAAAAGAGACATGGCTTAATCCATTTCCGTAATCACGGACGAGAGTATTAACTTAATTCATTAAAAGAAACTTGAAATAAACGCGCGTTAAATAAGCTGATTACGGAAACTATGACACAAATTATGGGAAAATTTATGCTCATTATTAATCATTTGTAAGAAATGGAGAAAATTTTTTAGATTTTTACAAAGTCAAGGAATTAACTAGTATGTATGATACAAAAAGTCAATGAAATAAGGGAATAACACGGAAAAAACAATCACCCAAAAATTTAATTAGAAACAGATTTGAAAATAATTTTGTTGGACTATCAAAATAATTATATTCCAAGTAGCAAGATGACATATTTTAATTACGCCTTATTGACGTTAAAACGTCATTAAGACGTTTAGAGTGCCACTTGACGTCACCTTGGAATAGAATAAAGCTTAATGATTACTTACACACACACACACACACACACACACATGGAGAGAATTTTTTTTAATTTACTTCAAAAATATATTATATAAATGATAGTTATGGTACATACGATATTTTAAAGATTTTTACCATGCACTTCAGTAAAATTAATTAGACTTATTTATTTTATTATAGTTTTATTAATGAATAAGAGAAATTTACATTAAATTCTTCGAAATACAATGTTGTCCCAGGACTATCATATTTTCAGGGTAAATTCTAAGAAAAAAATTCTCTTCTTGTATAAAGTATATACAAGGTATATAAAAAGCCTGATTGTATTATTTAAAATTCTGATTTAAAATAGATAAATCTATTATGATTCTCAGCTAGAATAATTCAAAGCAATTTTTCTCAACGTAACGCTGCAAAAAGTATTGATGTTCTAACAACCAGCTTGAGCATCGTACATAATTATTTTAATAACAAACATCCAACAAAATTATTTTCGAATCTGTATTTTTTTAGCTAAATAATTTTTTTTATTATTTTAGCACCGTTATTATTTTAAACCGTTCTTTCCCGGCACGACAACTACATTTATCGTAGAATTGAAAATTCATAGTATTCAAAATGAACAAAAGTACTCATAGATCCAAAAAACGAAAAGTTAAAAAGGTAAAGTGAAAGGTAAAGTGAATAAAATTTCGCACATGGTACAATTTTGAACAAAAAATAAATGAAATTTGAATTCAATTTTCTACCAGGAAAAAATCAAATTTCGAAAATTGGATTCAGATCTTATTTCTCAGAATTATATCATATTCAAAACTGTATCACCTTATCCTATCTTTAAAGACATAAGACACTGCAAAGGTAAAGGTGAAAATTCCGGAAGTGAATAAAAAGAAGCCCCGATCGAAATATTACTTTGTCGACGCGATTGATAAAGAGACGCTAATAGTCAACGCAAAATGATGTTATCACCGTGACATATCACGCTATATCACGGCATATCACGTTCATTATAAATGTTTTATTCATCACGAGCGATCTCATTATATCATCACACAACTTCAAGGCACATGTAGGTATGCTAATGACGCCGTGATAAACAGTGTCGAGAATCAATTCCCGTATTAATTAACGGCCGAAATGCGAACGGATGAAGAATTCGGTTGAAAGGAAGAACGGTACCTTCGCTTCCGGTCGAAGTCGTTCCGTCGGGACACTGTCACTTGACTTGCCGTCGCGCGTCTAACTTCTCGTCGTTTCAACACAATTCGCGAAACGAATTTCCACAGCACAATGACGGCGGTGATCGCTCCTTACCGTCGGAGAACGGGGTGTAAGGAAGACGGTGACGTCCGGGTACGGTAAAAAGGACACTCACTTACTTACACGCTGTGTCGCTTGAGAAAATTGGCCCGGCCGCGGACGGGATGACACGCTCATCTAGGCGCCGATTCTAAACTGGAAACAGAGCGCGCCGCGCGAACGAACGAACTGCCCGCCAAGCCGAGTGACGACGGACGAGTTCGAGAACGGCCGAAGAAGAGCCGCGAAAAGTCGCCGGCGCGGCCACGCATACTGAAACAGAACAATAGTCACGTTAACGTTAATTGATTGAAAAATAATTCTTAGTTATCATTTTAGAGCCGTTTTGATGTCATTTTAATATTATGGGTACGATTAACGTGATATTACAAATGTTTCGAAGCATATTCTTTGAAATTCTTTCTTTTTATTGGTCAATCAAATATTTCAAAATATTTGTGAAATTTGAAGTGCGTTCCGTTTCACTCATGAATGCTCCTAATCAAGGTAGGAAATTAAATTATTTTTTAAGTTACCTTATATGTGTTTGTTATAAATTGAGTATAAAAAATACAAAATTGGAGCAAATAAAATGGAACATAAAAAATTGAACAAAATTTGAAAAACCCGAACTTACTGTACTTAATAAATCTATAATAAAAAGTAACTTATGAGATCTAGTTCTACAATTTACGGTTAATTCTTAATCGAAGTTCAACTTATTTCTCATCTCTTTCCAATTCTCAGGCTGGTGTTTATAGTCGGTTCTTATTTTAAGACCGTCTTAAGTAATATCTTAAGCTGCTAATGCAGTCCTCTGATTGGTTCATGACTTCTTAAGACTGCACTTATAAGACGGTCTTGAATATAAGATCTGACTATATGAATACCGACCTCAAAAATAATTTTCCCAACCCTGTTCATAATCAAATCCAAGCAGAATACCCATACAGCACAGAATTTGAAGCAATATATCGCTGCAAAATCTGTGCAATATTGCTGCAATGTTGCAGCAGTGTTGCTGCAACTTTTGCGCAACTTTGTGCTGTAGAGGTAACAAGTTATGATAACGTCATAATGACCCCTACAGCACAAAGTTGCACAAAAGTTGCAGCAACACTGCTGCAACATTGCAGCAATATTACATGTTGCAGCATTAATATTGCAGAGATTTTGCAGCGATATTGCTGTAAATTCTGTGCTGTATGGGGACATTAAAATGAATGGGAAATGATTAAAAAATGACTTTTAATCATCATTTTGAAATCATTTTGACATGTTGTTTTGCTTGAGAAGAACGAAAGGAATGCGTTACTTCCCCAACAGCACAAAACTTGCAGCAACATTGCTGCAACGTGTAATATTGCTGCAATATTACTGCAACTTCTATGCTGTTGGGATTACTTTTTTGTGGTAACGTATATTTGTTTCACTTCAACTTATTTCACCGTGCCCTGGTGGAAAAATGTTACTGAAATTATTCCACGTTTTGGAACACTTTTCAACAAAATTTCAGTTTAATTTCAGCGATTTTTCGCTGAAAAATTCATTTTCGACAAAATTTCAGAAAAATTTTAGCAAAATTTTCAAACAAATTTTAGCAAGAATTTCAGAGAAATTTCGATTGAATTTCAGTGATTTTTCAGTACGTTAGCTGAAAAATTCACTTTCAGTGAAGTTTCAGCAAATTTTCAGCAATTTCGTTGAAATATTCCAAAACGTGGAATAATTTCAGCGAAACTTTTTCACCAAGGTGTGCACCAGTTCAGAGAATGCAGGAATAAAAAACCAACCTTTTTTAAATCACAGAACATTTTGCTGCGCCCTAAGAATCACTAAGAATGTTGCAAAGAGCGAACGCCCTCCTAGTGATTTCGGCGAAGCTGGCACGTGGCGCCCTCTCTCGAGGACAACTGGAAGTATCTCGGAAATATTGGAAAGGTCGCTCGCAAGATGGTGTACACGTACATACGACACACGTAGCCGCGAGAGGGACGGCGCGTCGCGATCGCGAGTCCGTCGGCAGTGAAAAATGGCCGGAGCCAGCGACTGGTTTAGCATCGGCAGCACGGTGCTCTGTAAAACCTGCCATGAGAAGGAGATAGAGGGTGAGGTGTTGGCGTTCGATCCACAGACCAAAATGCTGATACTAAGTATCCTTTTTACGCAAAAACCGCACCGGCCAACCACGGCAACAGTGACGACGACGACGGTGGTCGCCCGCGTGCGTTTCCGCCGCGCGGGGACGCAGTGTAAATAGCGTCGCGTCGCTACGACGGCGATTTGCGCCGTTTATTAACGCGAGCTCTCCTCGTCACTCCGTACCGCGAGTTCGACGACGTTCGTCGTCCACGTCGTATACGATTCGTTCGGAACACGTATGTGGCAACTCGGTCGCGCGATTCAGGTTAGTTTCATCTTATCACCGTCAACCATGCTGGTCTATCTGCCTGCCCGTCCAACCCGTCCGTCTTCGTGCATGTATATTTTGTTGTCGTCCGTGTTGACCATGTTTCACGTTCCTTCGTCGACATGGTACCGCGTATCACACGACGTCTTGTGTATTTGACCGATCTCGAGAGCACGTGACCGTACACTCGTCGTCGATAGTCTGTCTCGCTCGCTGGTGCACTTGTTATCTTTGTACATTTTTTGATCGACTATCAGTGATATATATATATATATATATAAATAACGTTAATCACTGTTGAATTTAAAAAGTCATTGAATATCTTAATGTATATTGGAACAACCTTTTATTGATAAACAGAAAATTCACAATTCTGTGACAATTAATCTACAATGAATTCATTGAAGTTATGATTACATTTATGAAATTAAATATTATATAATAATCATCTAATACTTTAGAATTTAAAAGTTTTTGCCGAATGCTATTATTTTGCCATAAACCAGTTGCCTTAGTTCATCAAGATCTAATTATGAAAATCGACATTTATCTGTTGCATAGAAAAATTTTCCTTAATAGTAATTTTTGTTAGAATCTCCATCGTCAAGTGGGAGACCCTCATTAAATGATATACATATAGTAAATTTATCCCTTGTGTCCAACGTTCAAGTGACACGAGAAGTTAGTCCTACTACCAGTGAACCACCACAGAGCCTTAATTTACAAAGGCTAAACACGAGAGTCCGTAATCAGATCGATGAGAAGAGGAGACTGGTAATGGCTCTGCAGGCCGGAGTATCTCCAGAGGGACAGAAGCTCTTTATTGCTATTTCAAAAACTATTCAAGATATTACGTGGAATGGAGCTAATATTGTTGTATTTAATAATGTCACTATTAGACCGCCGTACAAAGTGGACAATGTTCATGGAAATACAGAATCTGGTGCATATAGACATGTAAAAAAAGTGGTACGTATACTAATAAAATATTTAAATGAGCAGGATTATACTTGCGATACAAAAGCATACATGTTTCTTAATTTACTAGCTGCTTTAAATTCATGTTTCTATTGATAAGTACTTTGTCAATAGAATACAAATTCAAAACATTTGTTCAATAATAAGATAAGAATGAATTTTTAAGTTGAAATTTTTTTATAAAGAAATTTAAATATTTAAATTAAATTTATCATCTTAATGAAAAAAATAGCATCTTATTTTTTGCAATTTTCTTGCTAAATATAACGTAAAAATGTACATAGAAAAGAAATATTTTGAATAAGAGATATATGATCTGTTCTAATTTACCTCTTTATTGCATTTACATCATCTATTTTGTATTTATACATCCGTCTATCTTTCACAGGTTGAGAAACATATTAAGGATACATTACAAGCGCAGCAACAACGGGATCAACAACAACAGCAAACACAAAAGGGCGGTGAACTGCAATAAGAGTCCAACAAGGCACTATGTCATCAAGATCGCTATAGCATATTTTTGAAGAAGTCCCAATATTTGACAAGAAATAAGAAAAGGAAGATTTAACAGGATACCAAACAAAATAGCCCGACTGCAGAATAATTTAGATAAGCCTATCGTGGATAATCGGCATTTTCGAGCAAGCTCCAGTCGTTCGTTCAAATGGAGAAAAACAGAAACAAAAACGCGTATATTCGACACGAAAACTTCACATCGACTTTAATCCGAGTATTGTTAACAGTATCGCATATACAGCATTTTATAAATACAATCAAACGTACACTTCGTAAAATTATTAGTTACCAGCCTAAAAAAGAAAAATGGAAAAGCAAATGAACCGACTAATTCAAGCTGTGCGTGTCCATCATATTACTAGCACTACATTCGTGCGCGATGTATTACCAACGGCGCCGAAATCTGTGCTGTAGTTCAATTCAAGGTCGGTTCATCGGTTATCGATAAGAATCAACGTATCTTGGCGTGATTCAAGATCGATTCCTGTTTCTAAACGACAGCCTTCGCGTCCATGAGACACGGTGTACACGATTCAAGCCCGCATGAAGCGGTCCGAGCTTTCAAGACGCGATTTCCAATATCCGAAGGCACAAACGCGTCGCATGAAATTAGGATAAAATGCACAGTTGCCAGAGCGCATCATGAAGTAATTCTGTATAATTCTGTGTAATTCATTGATCGCGTTTAATAGAATATTTTTTTTTTGCAACTGTTGGTAGTTTTCTTTGCGTTGATCGAATTATATTTCTACATCTAGAGGAATAGTCCTATCTTGGCGAAGAAAATTTCCAACAGTTATAAAATAGACATTCTACTGAAAACACGGCTAACCTGTAATTCTCGGCAATAAATCGATTTATCATCTGCGATATTATCGCGATAAGATCATCCCGTGGTTTTACATTCACTCGACTAAGAGAGATATGATATTGTAATGCATTGCCGAAATTAACTGACAAAGACAAGTTTTCACAATCGCTTTCGAACAAAATAAGCGCCTTTCTTCTGCGATATGCATTCTTTGTGGAAAATGTAGGAAGGAATTTTAGGAAGTTTAGGAAGCGGATTTTCTACCATCGAATGCATTCGGCGGTGATCCGTGCCTTTTATCCCAGTTTCGCCGAGACAAAGCGACTTGACGATCAAGTTCCGTTTTGAAGCCCGCTTGTCGCAAGCGATTCCGCGTTATTCTCAGCGGCATAACGAACCTTTCGTCTCGACCGACAGGAAGAAAATCGCGAACGTTCGCGATTCCTACACACGGGACGCTTTCAAGAGCGACGAACTCGGTGATCCCGTCGCGTGGGGCCGAGCATTGCCGAGGATGTAATTTAGAAAGAACGGAGCTCTCGGTCCTCGCGAGACTCATCTGACGAACCCTCCCGGTGAGCAACGACATCGTCCTCGGGGGAAGACGAGATCGAGCCTCGTCCCGTGCCACAGTTTACCATTCGATTGGAAAGACATTGAGAGTGAGAAAGCAGGCGTGGGAGATTGTAAGAAAAGTTACACGAGGGAAAAGACATAAATAAATGTAATATAAATTCTGTAGCCGTAGGCTTTCTCTTTCTCTCTCTTCGTATCGCTTGCAGTCTCCTTTTCCTTAACGAGCGACTGATCGACCGATTATCTCGCGACTATATTGATCTTGTAATCAGGACATGTATTTGAAATACTTTTATTTGAGAAACGTTTTGTAAGATGATTGTATTTCAACGGAGCACATGAAAATATTTTATATTTTGTATTTCATAGGAGCATGTAAAAGTATTTTGTTTTTTGTATTCCAATATTAATAACGAAAGATTGAAAGTATTTTGTATTTTGTATTTCAAATATTATGTGTGTTGATTGACAATCGATCTTATTATTTGAATTACAAAATAAAAATATTTCAATCTTTCGATTTTAAGTAGAAAATACATAATACTTTTATGTGCTTTGCTGAAATACAAAATACATTTGTATTGCAAATAAAGCACATTAAAAAGTATTTCAAATACATGTCCCAACTCCTGTTTATGATGCTAACGAGGCTTCTGCCGTTTTCTTTTTCTTTTTTTAAAAGCTCGACTAAATGTGACTATACGAAGTACTAGCTTCCGCAGCGATGCTTGGAGTTCACTCCGCGTTTTCATCCGCTTCCTCGATCGTTTCCGAAATACCGCCAGTCAACTTCACGGTCGTAGACAAATCGTGCGTCACGCGAGCGATCCGGGCGGCAGCTTTGAATTTTATCGCCGCCCGATGCTTCTCGGTCTTCTTCTTCCACTGAAACAGAAAGTCGACGCGTCATAAATGATGAAAAAAAAAACAGAAAAATATTAAACAAAATTCGTAGAGACTCGTATTCTCTTTAAATTACTTTTAAATTTTGCATTGTTTTCGCGGTTCTAGCCGCACATGCGCAGTTTGCTTATTATACCATAGATATAAAATATAATTAGACTTCGGGCGGTATTCACAATCGAGTATTATATTCAAGACTGTCTTAAATACAGTCTTAAGATGTCACGAACCAATCAGAGGGCCATATTAGCATCTTAAGACAATCTTGAAATAAGAACGGACTATGAATATTGACCTTCAATAGTCGGATCTTATATTTAATTAAGACCGTCTTAAGATATCATGAACCAATCAGAGAGCCGCATTAGCATCTTAAGACATTACTTAAGACGTCTTAAAATAAGAATGGACAATGAATATCGCCCCTAGTTGGTTCTTATTTTAGACTCCATATTCTGAACTCATTGGAGACTGATATATAATAAAACATAAGCGATAAGGTAAATTGTCAGTTAGTGGACATGGACCAATTGTTGGACAAAGTGATAAAACATTTCAAATATTAAGCTTTTAATAATATGTACGGTTCTAAATAAATTCATTATCAGATTTTTATAAACAATAAATTTATATTTAGAGTATATATTATTAAAAGGTTAATATTTAAAATTTTGTACCACTTTGTCCAATAAATTGTGTTATGTCCTAACTGTTCATTAATTGATTAACATTTACTCTAACCCCGGATCTACAATCGAGTTTTAAGCCTTAAACCATAAGAAATGGGCGAATCACAGTCGATTATTCCCCTCGGATTCGATTATAATTGGTCAGTTTCTTATGGCTTAAGTCTTAAAACACCCATTGTAGATCCGGACTAACTCTCTGGTAGGAAAAATTTTCATGATACTCCTCAATATTTTTAAAAATTTGTATTATAAATTAAAAAAAATTTTTGAAAAAGTATCTTGAAAAACTTTTTCCGGAATGTATTGGAATGCATTCTATGTATATAAATCTATAGATACGTTCTTTATAGCATTGACCTCTGCTACACGGCACGTTTAATCGGGTTTAATAACATCCGTAGTTATGAAATTAGTCAATCATAGCTGTTCCTCGGAAGAATGGAACGACTGTGATTGGCCAGTTTCATAACTACGGATGTTATTAAACCCGATTAAGGGTGTCGTGTAAATATAGTCAGTATGTTAAAACAAAAGGATTATTTTAATGAATAGAAAAATATGTTTCTACACAAAAAACGCAGTACTGCTTAAGGTGTGATCAGACTCGAGATTAAGATTAAGATTTGATTAGAATTTAACCAATCAAAGCAAGTTCACTAAACTTGAGATTGATTTTCTTTCTTCTGATTGGCTGCGTTCAGCAGAACGTTCGTTTTGCAACTGTTGGAAGTTTCTTTCGAGCTGATTGGATCATACTTTTAGATCTACAAGAATGGTCCTATCTCAGCAGACAATCATAAAACGGTTGCAAAACTGTTGAGTCTGCTTAACGCAGCTATTGATTAAATTCCAATCCAATCTCAATCTCTAGTCTGATCACGCCTTTAGGCCTTGCGCACAATAGAGAAAATATCAGGAATAGGAATAAATATTAAGTTTTCAACCTATCAGAAACCATGTATTCCGGTGTAACTGGTATCTGGTAGGTTGAAATCTTAATATTTATTCCTATTCCTGATATTTGTTCTGTTGTGCACAGGGCTTTATTGCGTGGCGGAAGTTGGCGCAGTAGCCAATCATTCTTTCGCTTTTATGGGAAAGCTAATTAAAGTGTAAAAATTCTATAAAATAACACGAACTGTAGATTTTAATGTAAATTTTTATGTTTTTTAATTCACGATAACGTATTTTAGAACTGCTTGATAATTGTATATAATTTTATAAAAGAATAAAATGAATTTGGATTGAAAAGGATTGACTTAACGTTCGCGAATACGTTTTTCTGAAGAAGTGAATCCGTTTCAATCCATCCTCGTTTACTGGAACGTTTCGAAACGCACCATAAGGGTCACTTTACGATTCGCCGATTAGCATAATTGGCCGATTAGTCCATTGGAATTGGCCAATCAATCTATCGTCAAACGAAATGATAAATGCAACTGGCTGCGTTCAGCAGAGAAAACTAATCAGTTAGCGCTTAGTGATTCTTTAAAACGATTGGTTCTTGCCTTTAGTTCTTTACCCCGGATTTACAATAGGGTTTTAAGTCTTAAGTCATAAGAAATGGGCGAATCACAGTCGATTATTCCCCTCGGATTCGACTATAATTGGTCAATTTCTTACGGCTTAGGTCTTAAAACCCTATTGTAGATCCGGGGTAATTGATCAATTCTTAGGCCTAATGTTCATGGATGCTAGAAAACGGTCCGAATTCTCGGATTGAGAAATGTGTAACCAATCAGCTTACAGTTTTTATAGAAAACCGGCAAGTTGATTGGCTGCACATTTCTCGATCCAAGAACTCGGACCGAGTTTTAGCATCATGGACATTGGGCTTTACAGGTTATAGCCAGTATAAATGCTCCCAACGTAAACATTAAACCGATAAATTAAACTGCTATTGACACTTCTGTAATCTGTGATCGTCGATTAATTTAATCAAAAGTTGGTGTCGTTAATAAACGATTAGGTTAAATGTGAAAGAGATTAAATAGATTAAAAATGCTGGAAAAGATAGTTCCATATACACAAAAATATCGGAAAGAATGGAAATCAGATCCATTACTCAAAGATTGAGTTGAAGCAGTTTCAGAGGATGTATATTCAGTTTCTTTTTTTGCAAATTTTTGTAAATGTACTTTGAAGGCACATCGTGGTCTTCTTACAGAGCATTCAAAAACCT